ATAGATGAAGTAGATATCAAAATGATAGAAAGTTTGTGATAATTTGTCCAATCCTAATTAAATCAGCCTTTTCAAATGAACATCGTCCAGCCCACAAAATGGGGTCTTTGTGTCTCTTCATTTGTATAAATGTGTGAGAGCTTTCTTTCTTTTTCAATATATATACGTAATTCTTTCTCTATGTAATATGTTGTTCAGTATATAAATATAAAATTTTCAGATTTACCGGCCAAGAAAAGCATTTGATAGCTGGTTGAAAACATATTAACAAGTTTACCGGATTGTAAATTTATTGTATTGGCAAGTAAGTCTATTTACTGAACCAAATGTTGCTATATATTTTATTAATCTTTGATCATTCATAATGGATCCAACACACGATGACAATGACAGCTTCCAAAGTATCAATTACAAGAGAAAAGAACATAATGCGCGTGGGGTTGCTTAGATTCCTTTGTAATCTTATTACTTCTTAGAAATGTTGATATGGCATACCCATAATTACGAAAAACCTTTTTTAGTTTCGAATTTAAATTTCAAGTTCTTTTTTAATTAAAAAATAAAAATATTTAATGCATGATGAGAGAAAGTATGGGATACAGTCTTCTTGTTACTTATTTATTTATATCACTTTTCATCTATAATGGCTATGATGCATATATATTTGCCTACCTACATAGTATATAGATGCATGTATGTGAGTATATATATATAAGTTAAGTCTTTCTCACTTTGCACAACATCTCTATGTGCTAAGGCATCTCTTTCTCTCCCTCTCTCACTCAAAGACTCTCTCTATTTCTCTCTCCCTCTCTCCTAGAGATTTTTATAATGAAAGACACCAAGAAGAAGATGCCATGCAGCAAAAAGCTTGGAGGATACTTGAAAGAGCAAAAGGGAAGGCTTTACATCATCAGAAGATGTGTGGTTATGCTCATTTGTTGGCATGACTAAGTTGCAACTTACATGTGTTACATGTACATGCATATGTATATGTGCACATGCATATAGACAATATCTATGTTGTAGTACAACGGTTTAATTGAAGAAAGGGATCGGATCTTTGTGGTTGTGGCGATTTGCGATGTGAGCGCGCGGAATTCGCAAGATGGAGATATAAGGGGTTTTAACCATTCATATCGTGATGTCTCCGAGTTTTTACTCGCGTATGGGTTAAGAGAATAATTTTTGAGTTAGTATGAAAATTTATATGTAGAATCTTCTTTAATGTTAGTGTATGACATAGAATAAGGAGAAGAAATAAGGTTACTTTGTATATGCACACAGAGAATAGTTGTTAGTTGAATTTCCTTGTCTCTAATCTAAGTCTTCTTTGTTGTTATGGAATTTAACAATAATAAACATAAAGGTTCCAAGTAAAAACTATAAGAACAATAATCAATAATCCATGTAATTTCATTAAACAATGCTCTAACACATTTTAAAAAGAAATAAAGTGTTTAGCAGGTACCCCCATACACGTAGATTTCAACTGATATTCAACAACCATTTCGATATTAAAATATATGTAAATTACCAACTTTTGAAATATATTAAAATTTTGAAATATACAATATTAAAATATAGTTTTTAGCAAGCAAATACCACATACACGTAGATTTTAACTGATATTCAACTACCATTTCGATATTAAAATATATGTAAATTACCAAATTTTGAATAGAATTTAATTTGGCATTTACGAATATGAAAGAAATTCGCTATCAATCAGATCAAACTTTTTCATATCTTGATCCTATTTTTAAACCTTCAAGCACATGTGTTTGTTTGGACCCAGTGACTTCTATAGCAAAATCATTAATAACCACTGTTTGCATTTGTATATTCATATATTTTTCCTACAAAAAAAATAACCACATATCATTGACAGAATTAGAAAAAGGCATTTCATGAAAATAACAAGTCTTGATTTGTATAGAAAGTAAAAAAGGAAAAAAAAAAAAAAAAAAAAAGAGTCATTAGTCATTACTGTTTTGACATGTGTCAATATTACCTAGTTTGGGTGATATGTAATGAAATAATGCATTACTTCAAAATTCAGAAAAACTGACAAGATATTGAAGCCTGACCAATGAGAACGTGCCAAAGTATACTCTTACTGATGACAGCTTTTATGTCTGCCCACGGGCAAAGGCCAATGTCCTGAGACCCACATACCATCAGATCGGATCGCCACATCATCTCCAGTTTGCGTTTTCAATAGGACCCAAATAAACACCTTGTGATAAATTAGACATTTTGGAACTAAATGAACGATTAATATCGCTTTCGGGCCGGTGGTTTAAATTTTACTACGATTAGATATTTTACTTCTAATTTTGTACAACTTCATATTTTTTAGTTCTAATTCTAGGCTGTTGAAAACAAAAAGTTTTATGAAGAAATTTCTATAAAACACTTTTAATTAAAAGGATCATTAACATAAAAGATTGAAAATAAGGTGAAGAGGATAATTGTTGTTGATGAATTTGAGGAAGCAACCAAACAATGTCTTGCACAATTTGCAAGCGCTTTCAACGCAGAATACTTCAAGAAAATCGATCGAGAGATCAAGAACATCATCACCTTCAGAAAACACAGATGTCATTTTGGCAACCTCAAATTGTTGTGGTTGCGGTGTATTTTACATAATTTAGCATTTTATTGACCCTTTGTTTTTCTTCTTTTTTGCCAAGGAGTCAATTGTATTTAGGATTGAAAATATGTAAACCTGATTATTCATCTATATAAGATTTTCAATTTAGGAAAAAAAGAAAAAGAAAAAACAACTTCGTCATCTCCTCGTTAAGCATAGCATATGAGCATTTTGATATATGATCAAGTAATAACGGGTACATATCAGATAAATAATTTATATATATATAAATATATAATTACTATCATAAAAATCTATAATAGTACTAATTATATATTTTGAGCGAATACAATAAATAGTTAAATACCGAAACTTTACTTATATCGAATAAAGAGCGTAGTCGGACTTGGATACTTCGAACCATACATTGAGAATTATCATTTATTTTTAGGATCTCCCAGGAAAGCATGGACTTCAAAACGTGATTTTACACAGTATGGTTTTATCATTGTATAAAAACTAGTAATAATAATATATGTTTTCAGGTCAGATTCGAATAATCAAACTAAAATAATCATTACCCATACATATATTGTACATGTACCTCAAGATGCTTACTTATTATTACAAGTATTCACCAACATGGACATTTACAAAATCGAGAGAGATCTAAAATCTGGGTGGATCTTCCAAATAATTTTGTCCACTCCTACTTCTCGTTCTCATTGTGGGAATTAGATCGAAAAATATTCGTTAATGGGTCATTCAAAGTGATCACAAATTTATTACTCAGAGCTTTTCAGTAGCCCATCATTGTACCCACACAGCCCATCTTCTATTGTTTCATTTCTCCTTTTAAGCCATTTTTAAATCTAAAATTGATACCGATTATTATTTTTGAATTACAGAAATAATTATATAATTTTACATAGTGGTAAAACTTCTTTAAAGTTTAGAAAATATGAACTCTAGAAAATTTCAATAACGATTACGTTTATAAAAATCTATAAACAAATTTATGATAAAAAAAATTTCTACTTTATTACATTTTATATGTTGATAAACTATACAAATAATTGTGTTTTACATTTGACTAAATGTAGAAGATTTATCCGAAACATATTATTACTAACCGATCAATTTTTTTTCACAAAGAAAAAAATTGAAACTACCTTATGATGATGTATGAACTGGATCATGATCTTAAGTTAAGCATAAGCCAAAAGTAATTAGGCTTGAATATGTTTAAAATAAACAAATTTTTTGAATTTTGGACTGACCATAAAAGGGCCAGCTCGTTCGTTATGCCTAGTTCCTTGTATTCAATATATTTTGAGCTATCTCTTGACCAAAATAATACTTTGAACCTTTTATTCATATTACATTAACTTAATTGAGCGTCAAATAGTCCTCGTAAAATATTACACCATATATTTCGTTACTTTGCATGTTTGCTAACTATTTGTAAAATATTTTATTCTTAGTTGACGGACCATAAATATAATTTCTCTAAATAGTTTTCTCTTAGTAAACCACATGGTGGTGGGCGAGTGGTTCTCGTTTGGTTGGAAGGATCGCCCTGTTGGTCTAGGCCAGGGATCGATCCTCCCCAGACGCAGTTTCGCTCTCTCACTCCTGTGGCCACCTGGGAATTTACCTGCGGACTTGCTCAGGCGCCCCAGACCACCAGTTTATCAGGGGGCCCTTAAGTGGAGGCTTAAAAATCCATGTGACGCGGGCTTAGGCCCAGTGGGCTAGTCAGATCACTGTGTGGTCTGGATACTGGGTTTTCTCTTAGTAGTTTAGCATTAGAAGAAGAACTACCGGAAAAAGATATCATGGTCTTTGGCATGAAAAAATGTACGAATATAAACTCATAACCTATTAATTATTAAAAAAGAGATGATGAGAATGTTCCAACATCCAGCGAGATGTAGATTTTGGGTTTTCTTAGGGATGTAAATTTGTTACCAATATTAAAAGCCTCAAGATGATTGCTTTGCAAAAAATATATATATAAGGGCTATAGATATTGGGTGGAATGAACCCATGTATAGATTTTGGGTGAAATGAACCTATGTCTCTGAGAAGCCGATTAAACGAAGATTTAAGAGACTTTAGATATATACATCTATTCAATATATAAACAAACCCACAAATTTAAAATGAAATTTGAAGAGACTTTATAGTCAAATTTTACAAGTATGACAATTTCTTATTTAAATAAAAGAAAAAAAGACAAAGAAAAAAAAAACCGAAACCCCTCTCCATTGAAGGCTCTCTCTTATCTCCAATAAGTGTCCGAAATTTACACCATTGTTGAGTGATTTAAAAGCCCAACCCATATTTGGGTGACTTTACTCTTTCATTCTATATATCCTCTGTAAACCCTAATCTCCTTAGTACAATTGTTCCACAATTTCTCAATTTGTTGTTCACCACTTGGTACTTTTCAAATCCTACCTTCGATTTACCTCTCTTTACAAACAAAAATCAGCGATTTCTATCAGAGTTTAAACTTTTAGAGACTTACGTTGATCGATGACTTGTTTTTATCAGTTTCTCTCACACATCTTCTAAGCTTCCTGGATTTGATAGTCGAACCATATTCCTTTCCTTAGCTTCAATCCTAAGGTAGAAGAAACCTCTAAATCGCAACCAAATGTTGCAAAAACCAGAATCATAACATTAATTAATCAATTAAAAAATTAGGGCATAAATATCTGTCAAAATTTAAAAGTTTTTCAATAAACTCAAGGTACCAAAACACAAATCACTCGAGTTAAAAATTTTAGGGTAGAAAATAAGGTATATTTGTATAAATTAACAAAATAAACTAAAATCTAAAATATAAACTTTAAATTGTAAACTCCAAACTCAAAAAAACTAAACACTAAATCCAAAAACTAAAATCTAAACCCTAACTTCTCCTCAACCCTAAATTTTTAACTTTGAAAACATTTTAAAATATCTAGTTCCTTTATTTTGTAATGATTCCACTTATTTATTGTTGCGTTGATTTGAGAAGAAAAAATGATTTCTCAACTTTATCCTTTAAAACCATCGTATTCCTAATTATACTTTTAAAACTAGATCATGACCCGTGCTATACAGCACGGGATTTAATATTTTTCATGAATTAAATTGTATATTTTGTTCGAATAAATAAGAAATAATATAGTATAATAGTATAATATAAAAAGGAATATATCATAATATTTATATTTATTACTATTTGGATATAATGTTATATATTTTATTTGACTAAAGAAGGAGAGAATATTGTATTTTAGAATTTAATATATTTAGCAGCATTAGATTTGTATTTTTTATATGAGATTAACAATTTCTTTGGTTCAATTAGGTATTGATAATTTTTTACCAAAAAAAAAATTTAGGTACTGATAATTTTATTGTGTGATTGTGAACAAACAAAAAAAATAGTTGTATTGGGTCTAAGTTTTTTAATGGATTATATTGGGTTTGTGGAGCCCAGTTTCATGGTTTAAAAAAAAGGAAAAAAAAAAACGGTTTAACATACCTTTGGAATTTGCTGATGTGTTCCTTTTTTATATCTACTTGAATTTTGTTATCCTGTAATTAAAATAAGATGACTTAAAACTTACGGCACATATATTACAAAGAGAATTGTATAATATTTTAATGGTACTTACAGCCTCATCTGTCAAAATCATTTCCAAGACATGCTAGAACCTTTTGTAAAATGAATCCACGAATGAAGTATACTAACTTGAATACACCAAAAAGTCTTGACAGGCTTCAAGTTATTAATAGGAGTGTAGCGACTAACCATAGCCATTTCTGCTGTATTTTTAATTGTAGGATATGAGAATGGTGCTGAGATGATTTCTGTGAGAAAGGTACGTCAAACCTAAATGGATATTTATAGTTGTAGATTGTTTGTGATAATTAGGAGATTCAGAAATATATTAATTAGCATAAAATAGTTAGATAATATTTTAGAAAGGTTTCTACTAGATTATTTGGAATATAGGATCAAAATTATATAACAGAGAGATTTGACAATCTTTAGAAAATATTTTAAGGAAACTGAATAGCTGATTATATTGATGCGTGATTAAGCTAAACAAAAAACGTAAAACTAAATAAAAAAACGATCTAGAATATAACAACTATTATAATTTTTTTTTTTTATAAAGGGTTTTAAGGAAACTGAATATATTCTCAAAGATTTTAGGAAAACTAAATATATTCTCAAAGATTACGAATTGCTTGAATACGAATTTATATCTAAACAAAATATAACTTAATATCTTTAAGATCTTTAAACCCGTTTTTCGTCATTTGACCCGTTTTTAATTAATTTGTTAATGTTAGTGACATGGAATTAAAATGATTATGATTAGAGATCTCTAATGACATATATTATAATTTCTTACAAAATTAACGTTACGAATTATAGGATGTACCTCCCAAATAATAGTATAGGATATAACATTTTGAATAACATTTTCACTAACATTTTCGAACTATATGAGTATTATAATTCAAAATAGCATTTTTTTATAAATTGGATTGATATAAAATGTTTTCAATGATATATCATTTTCATTAACATTTTCAATAACATTTTTTATAACATGTTCGAATAATGGATTACTATATAACATTTTGAATAACATTTTCAATAACATTTCTGAATAATATATTAGTATATTAGTATAGGATTTTTACTAATTGTGTTACATTTTTGAATTGATTAGTATATAACATTCTCGAATTATATTAATTATGTATTATATAAACAAAATCCTTTAATATCTTTAAACCCGTTTGATCCGTTGACCCGTTAATATATATTAGTGAATTGGAATAAAATAATTATAATTAGAGATCTCTAATGGCATATATTGTAATTTCTTACAAAATCTAAGTTATGACTCTTAGGATGTACTTCCCAAATATTAGTATAGGATTACTAATCTATAAAATACAATATTTTCTGGCCAATTATTCCTATTTTCTATTTGTTTTTTTGCATATAAATAGTTGGGTGCATTAATGCATTATATTGTGTTGCGCCCACTGTAAATAAAAACAACCCTTGACTACTAGCTAGAGACGTCAAAGGAAATTTGAAAACGACAAATCTTTTCACAATCTTCAATCGTACGGGAAACCAACTCAGGTCACATTAAAGCCTCTTTTCTCCTTTGACAAAAACCCTAAAGAAAAGGGATAATGTTTATGTTATGTTGTTATATGTACACTACACATTTCTTCCGTATCTATAGTTTCTTTAGCCGGTCAAAACTAATTCACCCACCAAAAAATCTGAATTTCCATTTCCATTGCATGAAGGAACAACTAGAAACCATTAGGTAAATAATATAACCGCTGGACAAAAGAATATAATATTTTTTTTTATCAAAAAAGAAAGAAAATCAGATCTTGTCTGAGATCCGACAAAAAATAAAAACAGTGAAATACTATACATTATATTCAAGAACATCGATCGCCTTCAATCCTGACTCTTAAAAGCGTGATTTTTATCATTGAAATGGAAACAAATTATCCCTTCAGATGTCGTCTTCTATTGTTGAATTATTATTTTTGGACTATATGGGCCATGTTAATTAGATGTTGCTTTTGTGGAGCACTCATACGAAAGGTACGTTACCTACTTGTATATGTGTATACGTAGTAAAAGTAAATCTTAAGAAGATACTAAAAATAGTTGAGTTTGAGGTTAATCCCCAAATATATAAAGCTCATCACCAGATATTAGATCTGGAATTGGAAACCCTAGAAAAAAAAGTTGTAAACCCTAGTTAAATATTAACCTGTAATTGAGTGAGGAAGGAGAAGAAAAGATATTTCTAAATCAGACCCAAAATCATCTTTTGCGAGCAGATCTTCAATTACAGACACAAAATGTCTTCATTACTGTACACTTAACCATTTTCTTGTTACACATCTCTCTTCTGCATTCACCGTTAATATTAATATCTCATAGCTTTTTTTTTTTTGCTTGGTGTGAGATATTGTAAGGCTTACTCTCTCTCTCTCTTTTTCTGCTAGATTCTCTCTTTTTGATGATGTGAAAGTTTTGGTTTTTGTTTCTTAAAAAAAGGCATATTTTTTATTCTTGATTCTTGATTCTTGGTTCTTGATTGGTTCTTGAAGCTTCTTAAGTTCGGTGATGTCTTCTTCCAACAACGATGGTAATAACAATGGAGTGTACCCTCTCTCTCTTTACCTTTCTTCACTCACTGGCCATCAAGACATCATTCATAATCCCTACAACCATCAGTTAAAAGCATCTCCGGGCCATATGGTATCAGCAGTTCCTGAATCTCTGATCGATTACATGGCGTTTAACTCAAACAATGTTGTGAATCATCAAGGCTTTGAGTTTCCTGAGGTGTCCAAGGAAATCAAGAAGGTGGTGAAGAAGGACCGACATAGCAAGATTCACACGGCACAAGGGCTTAGAGACAGGAGGGTTAGGCTTTCTATTGGGATTGCTCGCCAATTCTTTGATCTTCAGGATATGTTGGGGTTTGATAAAGCTAGTAAAACGTTAGACTGGCTGCTCAAGAAATCAAGAAAAGCCATCAAAGAGGTCGTACAAGCAAAAAATCTCAACAATGATGATGAAGATTTTGGAAACAATGGAGGCGATGTGGAAGAAGAGGAGGAGGAGGAGGAAGATGGCGATAAGAGTTTCGTGTATGGTTCAAGCCCCGATTCCTGCGGAGAAAAAGTGGTATGTGAGGTCAAGAAGGCAGAGAAGAGAAAGAAGAAGAGTGAAGTGAGCAACATGTCATCAGAGGGATCAAGAGTCAAAGCTAGAGGAAAAGCAAAGGAGATGGCATATGACCATCCGGAAACCGTCTCAGATATCACACAATCTGAAATCATGGACCCATTCAATAGGTCTATAATCTTCAATGAAGGAGAGGGCATGCCAAATTCTTTCTACAACGAAGCAATCGAAGAGTTTGATAATCAAGAATCTATCTTAACCACGAGGAGGTTCAATCTACCGGCGAATATGGGTGAAAGTTACAATCAACGTAACGGGACATTTATGTTGATAGATCAAGGTTCTACCAGCAACTACAATGCCATTGATCTGCCTCAAATTTTGGATTATAACTATGATCAAAACCCTTTTGTTGACCAAAGCTTTTGTGCAGTCACCGACACCAATTTCCCTAGAGGTACATTTGGATAGTCTAAATTATGATGCATATGTCTTTGCATTCGATGATATATGTTTCTTTCTCTTGATTTTTTTTTTTTGGCAGGGTTCCCATAAAGCTTAGTATTTTCGAAGGACTAGGCGGCTGTCTAGGCATCAAATTAAAACATGTAAGCCATCCTTTACTCCTCTTGAATGTATACTAAATCTGTAGTTATATGTGTTCTTTTTAGCATATATATGTTGCTTGATCTTTTGTGCCATTGATCAAAATTTCTTTTTTAAAAGATTCAATGTGTGTACCTTAAAATGTTTTAGCTACAATTTTCATTTGGTATTGTAAGTTTGTAACCTGTAAAGTATTTTGAAGATGAATAAATGATGGGACATGATTTATATATATTTGGTGCGTAATCCTAGTCAAATCCAAGATTCATACTTTGAGTATGCACTACACACAAGAATCTTTCAGACTCAGCCATCTTTTGTTTGATGTTTAAGATAGAGCTGATCCATATTAGAATGTGTACCTCAAACCCTAAATATCTTTAAAACAAATATGCATGATATCATGATGGATGTTGAGGATCATGTATAAATGTATGCACGTGTATTGTATGATTTAGTACTTTGCAAATTGAAGTGAAACTGAGCATTAGTCTATGGACTGTGGAGATGTCCCTGTCTTGGTGTGTCTATTTGAGTCTTTGGTTTTGATTTGGCCATCCAAATATGAAGAGGATGGATCTTACTACTTTGTATATTATTGTCTGTAAAACATGTATAGTACATTTTTTTAATTCTTTTTTGGTATCAAAATTTTTTTGAGTAATGTTTGATTAATTTACATTGCAAATTGAAGTGAAACTGGGAATTAGTGTGTGGAATGTGAAGGTGTCTATTTGAGTCTTTGGTTGTGATTTGACCATCCAGGTATGAGGATAATATATCCTACTTTCGTATTATTGTCTATAATATATATACATATTTGTGTATATATATTCTCTTACACGGAGGATATTTTGCAATGATGATTTTTGAAGCCAAATGTTAGTTGGTTTTTTATGGGGTTTGAAGTTTGGCTTTTTGGAAAAGATGATTGTTAACTTACATTGTCGAGTAAGATTTGTTTAAGGCTTGTTAGGTTAAACTCCTTTGACTAGCTAGAGATGTCAACACATTTTAATTTGATTTTAATAGTTACCAAGAGAAAAACTCAATGTTTTGAAATGATATAAGTAGCTTATTTATTACTAGACATTCGCTTAGATAGTAAAGAGATACATGGATCAGTTCAGTCACTACCAATTTGTTTTGAATTAGAAATCCTCAAAACTGAATATGCTATCATAGTCCAAACTCCAAATTAAACACACGTGGACACGAACCTAAATCAATAAAACCCGTATTTATAGTTTTTTTTGGTAAAAACCCGTATATATAGTTGTTCCTATCTGACCCGAAATAGATCCATATATAAAGGAGATTAGCAAATGAATTCGCTTATGAAACTTAATATCCACCAATATCAGATTTTACAGTCATTTTAATTTAATTTAGAATTTAGCCGGAAATCTGACCAAAACGTATTTAAGATCAAGATATCTAACTTTTTTTTTTGGACAACAAGATATCTAACTTTTTAAGAACTGTTTTTAGTAGTTGGGGACAATGTGTTAAGAGAGTGGTACAAGATTTGACAAAATTCTATTTTTTAATCATTTTTTAATTTAACTACAAGAATGCTACAGAATATGCCTAAAATAGCTTGACAGTTTTCATTAGATTATCATATCTATGGTTAAGGTCAAAGCACAGAAAATTAGACTAATTAATTATAAGGTTGAGCATTCACGTTGGAGCAGTCAAGATAATGATGAACAATGTGAATTTAACCTTGGAAGGAATCCAATCTCAATAGGGACTTTAGATTTAACTAAGTTTGAACCACACATACGGAAATGGTAAGATTCAGTACTTACAAATATAGTTTTAAAAAGCTTTATTATCCATATGTAGTTTATTTTTGAAGCTGTTTTGTGTGAAAACAAATTTCCCTGTAAATTCCTAATCTCATAAAATTAGGAAATAACCAAAGAAATCATAAACTATAAAAATCACAAAATTGTATTAACATGTCTGAAACATATGACATAACTAATTTTAATCATACTTTAGTTGAAAACTAGTTAAACGAATAAATTAAACATGATTGAAAAACTCATAAAATAACAGTTTTTGATTAACAAACTGTTGGAATATGGTGTGAATCAGAAAGTGGATCTTTGTCAAAAAATTGTGATCATGAGTGTACGAAGCACAAATATATGTAAGGCAACACTAGATATCAAGTTTTACTTCATGTGAAATGAAAGTTCTCAAAATATATACCATCATCCGGAAATTAATCATGTAGACAGACACACGTACAAAGGTATTTTATGTACGAATAAGCTCAATGCAACATTAAGCTTACTAAAAGTGACTGAACGTTGAAGAACTGTCACTGCTAGAAGAAAGTATACAAGGTTTGCAATTCTCAGTGATAGAGGACTATAATCTAATATCAAGATGTAATTTATGATTAATCTATGATCTCAATTGGGCTCGATTAGAATCGGTTTAGTAGTCGCTTCATTAGGTGAAGTATTGTCAATAAGGCGCTTTGAAAGAGTACTTCGTTAGAAGTAAACCGAATTTGTTAGTTCGTTAGAAAAAAAAATATCGATCGGATAATGTTCGATTTAAATTCGAGTCAGATTATGTTTGATTTAAGTTGGTTTTAGTGACGATTGAGAATAATAAATTTTTGACAGTCTCCAACTAAGTTCTTCTTCTTCTTCATCTTCAAATCACTGACCTTAATATCTATAGACTTGTCTTGTTGATGTTGTTTATTCCTTTTTCTTCAAAGCATGTAAGAAGTGTACTGACATTAATTCTAGACTTTGCCTAGGTCGCTGGATTAGTTAAGTACCTATGAATAATCTACAATATTCAATTAACAAAATGACTGGAAAGTGATTACCTTCAAAGATTTTGTTGCAAAGTGATAGTAAAATTTATTATATAAAATTTCATTTGTCAGATCCTATGAAATAAACTCGCCGAAATAGCTAATTTTAATATTCACATAACATCTTTTCAACATACTTTTGTAGTACCATTTCTTTAATTTTTTTATTAGTCTGACCTTGACTGAAACTTCACTGCATCCAATCTTTAAGGGTGTCGTTGCTTACCATAAATTTACTGATTTACAAAATTGTTTATTAAATATAAATTAAAGAAAAAAGATTTACAGCAAATCTTTTTTTTAAAAAAAAAAAGAATGAACACCTTGAAAATAATTTTCAGATTTCAGTTTTAAAATATGAAAATTCACATTACAGTCATTTTCTAACTTCAAAAAATTCATAATTATTAATGTGTAAATATAATAAAATTATGACCAACCAAAAAACAACAACATTGCTTCTATATAAATTTGAAAATTTAAATAGACAATTTAACAAATTCATCTGTATGGGCCCAAATACAATCTTAATGGGCTTTAAATTTGGGTTTTACTTATGTGAGCCCATTATTACACTTCGTCTCTTCTTGCTTTGCTTGTCCCGAAAGTCGCAGAGGAAGCGAAAACACTGAAGGAGAAAGAGAAGAAGAAGAAGAAGAAGATGGAGTCTCAGAAGAAGATAGCTCATGAGATCGGTGGTGTTAAGAATGACGCTCTTCGATTTGGTCTCCACGGCGTTAAAAGCGACATCATCGGATCTCACCCACTCGAATCCTCTTACGAATCTGTAAAATTATCTTCCTCGATTGAGTTTTTTCTTTGTTTCTTAGTTTGAAATTGATTCTGTTAGCTTAAGAAAGGAACTTAAGTGCGTTTGATTAGGATCCTTAATCTCTTCTATTGCCTAATTACTTGATTACTTTGTTTTGCAATTCGCTATTTTTGGGTTTAGTTTGAGATTCTTGTGTAGAAATTGGTGTTTCAATCTTACTAGGGTTCTAAATTGGCTGAATTTTAGGGTTTTGTTCCTACTCTGTAGATCTTGAATCTATGTTGATTCATTAGTTACCTTTGTTTTTTTTTTTGGTTTCAGGAAAAGAAATCGAAAGAGGAGTTGAAGAGGACGGTCATTGCGCATGCCTACGGGACTGCACTTCCGTTGAAGATGGATATGGATAGGCAAATTCTTTCAAGGTATGTGTATTGAAATTGCAGTACTGTAACTTAGTTTCTTGGAATCTGCTAATACTTCTTGGTGCTGGAACACTGCTAAGATCATCAGATTTACATGAATTATGTGTGAATCAATGCATTGGGAAGCTAGTTTATGTTGCTTAGTAAGATGCATACACTTATAGGTTCCATTTATTTATGTTTTCATTCGCAGTATGATGATTCTGTGCATTAGAGGTATCTATGTGTTTACAAGTATTTAAGTTTATTGTTGTCCGTACTCGATTGAAACTTAGAACTATGTGTGTGTGCATCATGGGGTTTAGGATCTAAACTGTTTGCTGCATTATCTGCTGGTTGTTAATAGCACTCTGAAACATAAGCTGCATAGTTCTCAATCTATCCTTTTTTCTCTGGAATGTTTAGGTTTCAGAGACCTCCTGGACCAATTCCATCGTCAATGCTCGGTTTAGAAGTCTACACAGGAGCTGTGGATGACTTTGGGTTTGAGGATTATTTGAATGGTAATTGTCCTTTACTCCAGTTGCAAGTGTCTCAATGCTGCTACATTCACTTCTTTAGATCAGTGGAAACCAATTTGATGGTATATCAGTATGCACTAGCAGAAAACTATTTGATGAAAATTCATACTCTAGTTCTTCTTTGATGCTCGCAAGAAGCAATAGATTAAGTCTTTTTGCAATGTTTAATTTTCTTCAAAGTACCTTTTTCTTACAAAGCTCTAAGCCCTTTAAAGTTATTATACTGTGTTTGACACCAATTGGTCATATTAAGATGAAAAGGGTGTAAACGTGTTGTTTGTTTTAAATTTGATATCGGTTATCTGAATCTAGTATCTTCATCTCTTGCAGATCCTCGTGATTCCGAGACATTCAAGCCGGTAGACTTCCACCACGGGATGGAAGTTCGTCTTGGCATCTCAAAGGGACCGGTTAACCCAAGTTTCATGTAAGGCTCCCTCATGGGTGGTTTAATTGGTTGTTATGTCTTTAACTTTTGGATACTCAAGTGAGATCGTGTATGAACTTATTTCAACCGTAGACTTCTATTATCTCTCGAGTTAAGTTTGAAATCAGTTGAGATAAATATGAATGAACAATCAATTATAGTTTTCAAAACTAAAGATCCATTAAGCTTTCACGTATCATCCGTCTTAACAAGTTTCGTCGGTCTTACTCTTCAT